GTGTTTTGATATTCATTATTTATTTCATTTTCATTATCTTCATGTGTGCCTATATTTATTTCCACTGAATTTATTTCAGGTGATTGATCTATTATTGATTCATTTATTGTTGATGTTAATAATAATGATGCTGCTGTTGCTGTGCTTCTCTTTAATCTTCTTTCCAATCTTGCTTGGTTTGCTTCCATCTTTTTTTTATTTGTTCCTGGCAAATTGCAAGAAGGAACTGCTGTGTTTTTTAAACGTCTTTTTTTTTATTCAATATCTGTAACACAAAATTTACATTATGAATTATATTATATTATTATAGATTATAGGTTTAGTTTAATTTTTATTAAATATTAACGGTAATTATACAGAATAGCTCCGCCACCTCCGATTTCGATAAAATTAGCTATATATATTATTAGCTATATATATATATTAGCTTACCTGGCAATATATAATCAGATTTCTTAAAATGTAGTGAGCACACTTTTGTATTAGACGAAATTTTATTTACTTTTAAAGCAATTTTCCATGCTCTTAGTTTATCCATTTGTTCCAATTTGCCGAATAAATTTGTTATGTTAACGACGCATTCATTCGGTTTTGGAAATCTGTGGAAACGAAGCTCTAAATTTTTACTTGCTTTACTGTTACAGTCTCTCACTGCACAGTAATCAAAATTTTTTTTTATCACGCGCGGGAAAAATTGCAGCCTCCATAATATTGTTTTTGTTATTTTACAGTATAAGTTTATAATAAATACGCTAAATGCAAGCATAGAGTATTTCTACTTTTCGGCAATAGACGGCGCCACCAAAAATGTCATAGGGACTCTACTTTCATCTATAGTGCTTTACTATATATGGTTAAGATGGTTAAGAAGTGCCTTGGATTGTGTAAAATAGCAAGTTCAAGTCAAGTTATTCACTGAAGGTATTTATCCAACAGACCCCGCTCAGCTGCTCCAGTTTTTATAAAATTATGCTCGTTCGAAGAATCTGGTTTTTGCCATATCATTTTTTTTAAGTGTGGCCCAGCGAGACAAAATATATTAGCAGATATTAATCCTAGAAGTTTACCATTATTGAGGTTACTAAAACTGTCATATCAATAATAGTCTCGCTTCGCAAGGCAGAGCCACTTTTTTTTCTATCAGATTCATTCGTTTCGTACAAAAACGCGTTGAATGAGTATAATTTCATCAAAATTAGAATTTTCATTAAAACTAAAGAAAGAAGTTCTGAATAAATGTCATCTTTTAATCATATTTAGTTGTATTTATTGTTAATATATTTATTTGTATTTAATGTTAATATATTTTGTATTTAATATTATCGACTACATTATATATATGGAAAGTTGTTTTGCTTTGTAATTTTTTGTATCTCGTTCATGATATTTGGATAAGAAAATAATGAACACAAAAAGTATTTACGAGTCATTTTTTCAAATTGACAGCAATATGGAGGCTGTACTTCAACAGAAAGTCATAGAAGTTGCCAATCATGTTGAGCAGCAGTTGGATGCAGAATTAGAAAAGTTAGACAATTTGGATATCAATGATTATGAAAAAATACGTGCACACAGACTAAACGAGCTCAAACGAATACAAAAACAGAAGCAGGATTGGCTAATTTTGGTAATGTGCCTTAACATGTTTATTTGTTTCAGAATATTTAATACTAGAATTCTTAACTATTGTAGGAATATGTATATATATATACTATATATATATTTATGTTAAATTGTATAACTTATACAAAATAATACATAACAAAATATGTATAACTTCATATTGTTACAGGGTCATGGAGAATATACCGAGTTATATGACGAGAAAGAATTCTTTGAAGTATCCAAAAAGTCACAGAATATAATTTGCTTATTTTATAAAGATGATTCTCCACGATGTAAAATAGTAGATCATCATTTCAAGATTCTTGCGAAGAAACACATTGAAGCAAGATTTTGCAAACTAAATGTTGAAAGATGTCCCTTTTTGACTGGTATTATTAAAACATCTTTCTGTTATTTTTAGCAATATGAAGTGTATTTAACTCTATTAATAATATATTTATGCATTACAGAACGGTTACGTATTAGAATTATACCTACAATTGCGCTAATTGTGAATGGCAAAACCAAGGATTATATCGTGGGCTTTACTGAATTAGGAAACTGTGACGATTTTTCTACAGAAACATTGCAGTGCCGTCTTGCACAATCTGGCGTGATCAATTATGATGATGATCTGGAATCGTCAGAAACTGGCAAGAAGCCATTTATATTTAAATCTTCAAAACCCAAGATCATCAAGGGACGTAATTCTGATGACTCTGATGACGACTGCATCTAGATATAAAAGATTTATGTATACTATTTGAAATATCTAAAAAATATAACTTTGATGTGGAGTTTCTCGAAATTAAAAACAATAAGAATCACAGAATATAGTTTGAATCAAAAGATTATAAATAAAGCAAATGAAAGTAGTGTGGCGTAATTTATTAGCAATACATAAATAATATAAAAACTTTTATTGATTTATTTTGATGTCATCTATGTTAATTGAACTTTTCGACTCTTTTTGGAGTCCTCTTTGAAGTACATTTTGTGCTGATGAATACACAAATTCTGTAATTGATCGGTGTGTGAGGAGAGGACTCCGAAGAGAGTCGAAATGTTTAATTAACATGGATGACATGAAAGTAATTTAGTAAATAAATCAGTAAAAGTTTTTATATTATTAATTCTGCATCAACCACGCTGTACTCATTCATGTTTGGTTTCTATTCTTATTTGCATTTTTCTTATGTATTATAAACTTAAACATTGTTTTTATCTCATTTAATATATAATGAGCTTTTTTATAATAAAGTTGACAAATAAATTATATATTTTAATACTTAGGATGTATCTAGTTTTTTAATCATAATAAATTCTCTATACTATAGATTTTAAATTATATTTAAATTAAAATATTTTAATAATAAATATTGAATCGAAAGATTATAAACAGTCAAAGATGTTAATATAATATTTATGTAACTTCTATTATTTAAACAAAATGAATTATTCAGTTATATTGTAAATATATATTTCATAATTTGAGAAATATATATGACTTTATTATAATTTCTTGAATGCCATTATAAATAAAGAGATGATGGAAGAACAATGAATAAAGAGAATTTAAATAAAATAAAATGAGATATATATATGTATATATATATTACGTGAATACGATGATTGATCAAGCACTAGAATATTTTTTGAGATTGTATTTTTGATTTATCATTTTTTATTATATTATTTTTCTTGAAAACATACTCTCATTTTTTATGTCACAGTAAATAAATAATGTAACGTGGAAAAACATAACTTTATAAAATTAGAAGTAAATTTTCTAGGAGATAATTCTGTATTTTAATAGTCATATTTATATTATAAAAAAGAAGCTTAAAAACTCTTGAGTGTATAAATCATAAAATACATTTAATCTTCTTTTGTATATTCATAAGAATAGTTTCATACAAATAAGATATGATACTTTTAGAATTTTATGATAGAAATCAAAACGAAAATAAATTTATGGAACTATAAATAAAATAAAGAGATAATAACTTTCATGTATTGTGTATAAATTGTAATATATTTGCAGATTCTATTGCGAAACATGAGAGATTGCTGTACAAGTTATCGAGAATATCACAGTAGTAATGCAATGATAAGTCATACATAATTAACTAATTTTATAATGTAACTTTTAAATTAAATGTTCCGAAATATTTGTAGTTTATCTTATATAATAAAAAAGAAACTATCACACAATAGAAAAAAAGCAACCAACACACATCGTGTTTATTTTCTTATATATTAGAAGGTATATGTATTTAAATATGCTTAAATTCGTCTACAGTGCAACGAAAATTTATGATCTATTTACATTTTAGGAGAAAACATTAATTTTTTAAATTTAAAAAACTTGTGTGTGTGAAATATTAAGTCGATCGAGATGTATGTATGAATGACGCTCAAGTTAAATATAGCAGTAATGCATGTATATGAACCAAAATAAAGTATTATAATATATTTAAAAAATGTTTTAATCTGATATCATGAACATTACTTATAAAAGTATCACAAGACAAATATCTCGTTTACAATATATGTATTTCATAGCACTACAACATAATATACGATACGATGTAATAGGTTTTCCAGCAACGTATACAGGCGACACTGTGTAACATACGATTTCATGTTTTTCAGCTGTAACATAAACCGACGCAATCATACACGGCTAAAGTACCGTGTCTTCGTTTTACATCACTTTACAAACACCAAATTTTTTACATTACCATTTATTTTTCTAGGAGTAATGCTCTGATAAAAGATTTCGAGATTACATTCGGACATAGGTATAAAATACCTTTTTCACTCTGAAATAGAAAAGCTAAGCAATATTTTAGCTACAAATCGACACTATTACTGTAGCTATGTTCCGATATACACTGCCTGTATCATACAATGTATGATTGTATTCCGTTGCTGAAAGCACCCTATATTTACAAGTAGGTATATGAAACGTCATTATCTCTTGTGAGTGTGTGAATGCGCGCGCGCGTGTCTGTGTGTGTGTGTGTGCGCGCGTGTGTCCGCGCGCGCGTGCGTATACACATATAAGAATATGTAAAAACTATATTAGATTTTAGATTCATCACTGCTTATCTAATACATGGAATCCCATTAGGCTAATCTAATACTTATTGGGGGAAATGGTAAATTTATTTAAAAAATACTTGTATTACAACTAATTAATACAAATTTATACTTTTCTGAAATAATAAAATGGTCTGACAAATTTAAATAGTTTAATTTTGATATTTCCTAATCTAAATTTTAAAATTGATAAAAGAATGTAATTCAAAAGACAATAAAAAAAATTGATATACCAATTTTTCTTATTGATAACGAATCTAATTTATTGATTGAAATGCATAAAACGCATGTGTTTCAGATCATACAGTATTTATGTGAGAAAATCACATATGTGTATGTCTTCTACCTTTAATACGGTTTACCAAATTACAAATCTTGAGTGCTGGCCCAAGTTTTAGTCCCATGTACTTCATCATCATATCACTATTGAGAAGAAGTAGGGCCTTGCCATCAATTTCCTAAAAATTATCGTTAATTTTGTATAATAAAGTAAATAGATAAAGTAAAATGTTGAATGCCTGTTTTATATTTAACTTACATGCTTCCTGAATAAATCTGCATGTTGTCCTAATACTGGATCTGTAATGGCAATAAAATGTATTACATCTTCAATAGTCCAATCCGCTGGTTCACTGGGAAGAGTGCGACTTCCAGAGGCTTCATTCGATTGAGTAGTAGACGTCGCTGCTTCCAATTCTGTACGTAAATATGGTTCTTAATCAGTACATCACTTTACAAAAATGCTAGTTGATATCAGTTAATTTCACATTCAAGCTTTCAAGGTAGCATATTATATTATCCTGAACAATAAAGTAATAACTATCTATATATTCTTAAATAATAATTATAAATATCCTTATAATTCATAGGTTATCATTAATTAATTATAACAAAGTTTTATAAAAAATATAAAATACCGGGAACAGATTTGCGAGGTTGCTTTGAAGATGGAGGAGATGGTTCTGTAGAATTATTTATACTTTGCACCGGAGTTTGCTGAACATGCTGTTGCTGAGTTGGCGTTAAATTTTGTTGACTTTCCGATGACCACCTTCGTTTCTCTCCTATGGAGTTATTTGCTTCTTCATCATTAGTGGATTGTGGTTGTTGTAGCGAAGATGTGAGACACTTGCTGCAAGGTTCTTTTCTTTTAGTTAACATGTATTCACATGCACGGAGGTCCTCAAGTTGTTGCCTAATGTAGGCATAAAAGTCTTCTTCTTCCAAGAAATGAGGTAATTTGATGGAGGCAGGTTTCTTCAAAGTTCCCATACTCAAAGTTACAATTTCGCCATCACCATTTCTCAGTAAACCCAACATTTGCTTGGGATTCAAGGCTGCCATTAAAAATGCTTGGAAGATTTCTCTTACAACATTTGTCATAGGACCAGTGCCAAATTTCGCTGGTAGGGCTCTCACTTTTCGAAGATCAAAATATGGCCCACAGAGACATTTATGGTTGACATAAAGCGTAACTGCAATATACAATTAAGTCATCATTAAAAATTTTTTGCGTAAACTTTATCGTTTCTTGTAGAAAATATAACACATCTCTTGGACTCGATATAGACAATCACTCTTTGAAAAACTCTTCTTTGCCATCTAGGAGAGTTTTGGGGAAAAAAGTTTAGCATTGCTCAATCTTGCTCGATTGAGGCTGCCTTCCCATGGAGAAAGAAACAACTTGGAATGGAATATTGACAGAAAAGAGATAGGATGAAGGTTATCCTCATTCACCATAGATACATCTACAATTATAATTAAACCTGCATGTGATACTATAACTCAACATCTTCCTTTGTAATTTATTCTGATTTATATATTTATTTATTCTGATGTATGTATCTGTGGACAGCGAACGACAGACTCGCAAATGTATAGCGGACTAACAGCGTTTTGTTTGAGCAGTTATTTGTAAGAATAAAAGAATCGCTACTTTATTTGCGTAACCACGTGGATAAAAACACGGCGATAACCCTTCTAGAATCTTTTAAGATAATGTGAATATTGTGAAAGCCTAAAAAGCGTTACCAGAAATCACATTTGCCCTGATGAAAAATTTTTTAATAATTTTTATACAAATTGGAACATTTTTCAGAAATACTCAGAAATATTCGGAAAGTTTATCTTCTCTCAGAATTTTTCATACATACGAATTCTGAAATATTTTGAGATTTCTCATCCCATAATTTAAAAAAAATATTTTTAAATTTTTTATATTTTATAACATTTTTTATCACAATTATACTTACAAAAAATTTTAGAAGTCTTACGATATTTTATAACTAACATATATGGAAAATTCTGAGAAAAGATGTAGATTTTTGAGAAGTATTCCAATTCGTATAAAAAATATGAGAAAGTTATAAAATTATATAAAAATTTTGAA